AGATACAAAGATACATAGATACATGCATGCAGACATACGTCCATACATATATACATACATAGATACATATATACATAGATGCATACATACATACATACATACATACATAGATACATAGATACATACATACATATACCTAAATGAAAGTACGGAAGTATCTGGTCCAGTCACGTCTTGGAACAGCTGCACACCGGTGCTGTATGTACGTGCTAATCTTAAGCTTGCGACTCAAATAAAAGGTGCTATCGTACTCACCTTATTACTCTCTGACATTGCTTTGGGCATCTCGTACATAGCTTCTACCAAATCTTCAGTTTGCCATTGCTTCTGGGACGTATCAGTTGGTAGTCCATCGTCGTCAAAGTACAAGTCCATGAATCGCTTGTTGGAACTTAGCGCCATCGTATATAGTCCTACGTCGACTAATAAGTATGCGTTTCGGAATATCTCGTAGACACCAGAAAAACTGTTTACAACACTGTAAAGAGGATATCTATCTATCTGCAGCCCTGTCGAATACAATATCACTGATGGAATTGAAAGCTCTCAGTTAGAATACCGTACTCTCTCTCTCTCTCTCTCTCTTGCACTCTCGTTCTCTAGAGTATACTCAGACCTTATGGATATAGTATTCACATATTTAAGTCCACAATTGAAGTCGTCTTCATCCTCTAAATATATTGATACGAGTCAATTTGCCGTTCGAATCATCCATAATGCATAGCCGCCCTCTAATATAATAGTTATATAGTTGTTGTAAATAGAAAGTATATCCTCGATCAAAAACACACCCGTAACAAACTATTTATAATAAAGGCGGAAAGTTCTGAACGTCCAGCTGTATAGCTAGTTGTTCGAATTCGGGACACTACGCCGGGGGGTTTGGACAAAATCAAACCGTCGCTTCTGCCGGACATTTAATTTTTTTAATAGCCCATATCTCTACATAATTTTAGTACTACATAAATCTAGTAACGATTGAGAGCTCTCTTCTATAGTGACTGTCACTCCAACAATAAAATTGCGAGGCTACAGTGCTACACGCTCCGGCCAGGAATCTTCACGGACACCCACACACATCCTTATACAAACAATTGGCAGTGTTAGTTTCTTGACGCATCAGGCGCAAACACGTCTGAGGATAAGAAATAGTGTACTGACCGTTCATCTGAGATACCATACCATACACTTATCGAAAGAGTTCAAAGAATAGTAATATATTCCAACACATCAGAAACATAGATAGTAGAAACTCAGGGCATTAGATAGCGCTCCCGACTGCCAATACTAGTTGAGCAGTAAGCAGGATAGCCAGGGTAGTTGCCGGCAGGAATACAAAGTTTGGCAGCGATAATAGATTGCCGATTCAATACGTCTGAATCCCTATCCATCGGTTAGGTGTAAAACGAAATACAATATGAGCGGCGTTAACAGGAGAAAACGGCAGCGTCTTCCAGAGGAGACTCGAGGACCTGCTGGAAGCAATACAAAGTAGGTTAGAAGATACGCATCACACACACACACACACATACACACACACACACACACACACACACACACACACACACACACACACA